GAAACAAACAAAAAAAGAGTTGTATGAGCCCCCAATAAAATGATTTTAAAAAAAGAAAGAAAGCTGATTACCACCACCACCCCAGTCAGCCCAAACAGGGGCAAAGTCTCCTTTAGGGATTGCTTGAGTGTGTCAGTGATGAAGACTGCGGTCCTAGGGTCACATAGCCATGTGTTATGGCTACATTGCCTTGGTCAGTTTCTTTTGTCCTCCCATGCCCTCTCCTTGTTGGTAGGTGCCATCCAGTTAGTTCTGACCCAGAACCAGAACAAAACACTGCCCACTCTCTGTGGTCTTCCTCACAGTTACGCTTCAGCCCACTGTAGCAGTGACAGCGACTGTCAATCCATCTTGTGGAGGATATCTTCTTCCTCTTTTTGGCATCCTTTTTCACTTTGCCAGGCATGCTGTCCTTTTCCAGAGGGGCTGATCTCTCCTGATAATGTGTCCTAAGTGCATGAGATAAAGTCTCAACACCCTCACTTCCAAGGAGCGTTCTGGCTATACTGCCTCCAAGGCAGGTGTGTTTGTTCTTTTGACAGTCTATGTACTTTCCAGATTCTTCTCCAGCACCAAAACTCAAATGTATTAACTCCTCTCCAGTCTTCCTTATTCAGTGTCCAACTCCGATTTATATATGAGGCAACTGAAAATACCACAGCTTGAGTCAAATGCACATCAGTCCTCAAAATGACACACTGGCTCTTCAACACTTAATAGGTTTTGTGCAGGAGATTTACCCAATACAATGCCTATTCGATTTTTTAAAAATATGTACATTTTTAATTAATCATCTTATTGGGGGGCTCTTACAAATCTTATAACAATCCATCATTTATATGTTACATTGTATTTATTGTTAAATCATTATATTGTTAAATCTTATAACAATTCAATATCATTTGATTTCTTGATGGCTGCTTCAATGGAAGTTGATTGTGGGTCCAAGCAAAATGAAATCCTGGACAACTTCAATATTTTATTTTATCATGCTGTTACCTACTGGTTCACTTGTGAAGATTTTTATTTTATTTACATTGAGTTTTAATCCATACTGAAGGCTACAATCCTTGATCTTCATCAGCAAGTGCTTCAAGTCCTCATTTTAAGCAACTAAAGTTATATATCAAAGGTAGATCTAAGGATGTTAATAAAATAAGCCTTCCTCTGGTCCTGATGCCACATTCTTCATGCCCTACTTAATGTCATGGAGTCAACTGCGACTCAGTGCCCTATAAGACAGGGTAGAAAGAACTACCCCAGTTTCTAAGACCAGAATTGTTTACAGGTATCAAAAGCCTCATCTAGCTCTCTGGGAATGGCTGATGGTTTCAAACTGCTGACCTTGTGGTTAGCAGCCAAACACGGAAGCACTATGCCGCCAGGACTCTATTCATGTCCTACTTTTCTCCAATTTTCTACAAACCCTTGAACAACATCATGACCTCCGGTAAGGGCCTCCCTCATGCAGATGAGGTGTCTTTGTCTTGTCTTTACCTCCTGCTTTATGTTTTTGTGTTTACCTCTTTAAGGCTTAGTCAATAGTCTCCTTAAATTATACTTGAAATTTGGGGTCTCTATTGTACACTAAAACGTGAGTCATATATATATAATACATGTATATTTTTAAAAACAAGTTCTGCTCTGAGGGGAAATTCTGAAGGAGAAATAAAACTATTCCTTACCTTGGAAAATCAAAGTTGACTTATACATAAATACTGAGCATCTCTGAATAAACTGCTAATCTTTAGTACATAAAAGAAAGGGGACATTACGATTCGAGTTACTTTAATCAGCATTTCCATTTCATTGCCACAAAGGTCCATGGGGCTATCCATCTTGCCCTTCACCCACTGACTGCACAAACATGTTATATACTACTCTGTCACCCATCAGCAGAAATTCCCAAAGAAACTCTTCAAAGTATCTCATCACCTCCTCAAAAACCAACAGTTCCTACAGAGAATTTACCTTAGCACTATGAGTCCTGGTGAGAGTTCAAGTACGCATTTCCTGCTAATAGCAAACTTAGCAGTTCAAAACCACAAGCTGCTCTGCTGGAGAAAGATGAGGTAGTCTGCTGCTGTGCAGAGTTACAGCTTCGGAAGCCATCCATACAGGCTCTCTATGAACCAGAATCACAGAGCGAGCCCGAAGCTCTGAGTCAGAATCGGCAGTGACAGTAGTTATGAACATATTCAGGTTGTGGGCCTTGTTTGCTGCTATTTTAGCAGACTGCCAAGGAGATAGACTGACCCAGTGGGTTAACAATGGGCTCAAACTAACAACTGTGAGGATGGTGCAGGACCGGGCAGTCTTGGTCTATTGTACTCAGGATCGCTATGAGCTGGAACCAATTCGAAGGCACCTAACAACCACCACCATACTCTCTGAGAGAAACTAACACTGGTTAACCACCCCACTCCCCCGCTCCCCAAGAATCTTTTTTAAACCAAACTTACTGCCATAAAGTCCACTACGACTCTTAACAACCCTGTAGAAAAGAGCAGAACTGCCCCTGGGGTTTCCAAGAGAGCAGGAGAAAATCTCATCTTAATCCCACAGTGGTTGGTGGCTTCAAACTGCTGACCTCTCGGTTAGCAGCCTAACATGTATCCCACTATGCCAGCAGGGCTCCTCTAACGATGAGGAATTCTGGCATACTAAGGAAATCGGATAGCTTGCTAATAATGTAAATCAGGCACCCTTGTGGGAGCAGCAGCAGGTACATGAAACCCTAGCAAAGTTTTTCCATACTGCTAGATTTAAAAGTGAGCCAATTCCAAACTAGAGGGGGAGCCTCATAATTACCGAGAGAAGAGCCAGGAAAGAAATGTGTGCTCTCTGGATCCAGGGTCGCTGTGCTGAGAAGCTCACACAACAGATTGTGAGAAAGCAGTGGCAGATAAATGGCAGCAGAACCAGGAGACCAGCCAGCAGATATGTGACAGTGGGCGGAGCAATAGATTCAAGCACCTTTGGGCAGGCGGAATGACAGCGTCTCTGGGCACTTTTGAGCAGAACAAGGAGAGCTTTGTAACACACACCGGAGCAGGACCGAGGCCAGGTCTGAGGGCCAGAGAGAGGCCTGCCTAAAGACTTTGCGGAGATGTCCTGATTGAAGAACTGCATTCTGAGCATTCCTGGACAGAAATTAACCTGTTCCTTCCTTATAAAACTCACCAACTCAGTATGATCTGTGACTGCTAAGTGGCCATACAACACATTATGCCACTCAACAGAGAACTGTGCTTCGGACAGAACAGTTGTGATTTCAGAATTGGTTAAAAAAATGTCTGAGAGTGGACTCAAGTCTGACCTCTGCCCCAATAGGAATCAGCCTTGAGCTAAATCTTGATTCTCCTTCAACCATGTAAAGTTAAAGGTCAGACATCTTCCCTACCACACCATTCCTACAGCTTCCTAACTGTGGTAATCAATGAAGGAAATGTAAATGCATAAAAACTGTCTAAAAGGATAAGTCCTCAAGAAATGATCAGTTACCACTATCAGTAAGTTTTCAACTACTGTCAATTCTAAATAGGTTTGATCTAAACAGGAATTTTCTGAAAACAAATTTGCAGGTCATCTCATCCAAACACGCTCATATTATAACTACTTTATACAAGCAGTATGACGATTTAGAACTGGCAAATCATGCACCCAGTGATGGGCACAGCCTTAGCGGGAATATTACATTATGTATGCATGCACCCTCACTGTACAAAACAAATGTCGTCTCCTAAAAAAGAACACAAAGAACATAATCTTCCTATAATTATTCCTGACCAAACACATTAGCAACACAAGAGCCCTTGTCACCAAGTTAGGGGAATACCTAATCTTTTACATCGTTACTTCCACTTCTTTACCAGCTTTGCAGAGGAGAGTTGCAAGGACTACTCAACAAAAATTAATAGGAGGCAATACAACTATCTGAGTATCTTTAATGCAAAAGAAGAATGTGAGCTGTACTCCTCCCCTATCCATTGAAATTCCGAGAAACCAGGTGAGGAAAGAAAAAAAACCCAGATGGCTGGAGCACACAATTATGAAAATAAGTAAATGTTCAGAAAACCAGATCTTTCTCTAAATGGGGTGAAACCATGGTACTACATGGAAAACGGAATTAAAAAGTCTATTAGACGGGGGAAAAAAAAGTCTATTAGACGCTTGGTCAACTCACAATCAAGTCAAATACAATTCCTTCACATACAACAACCCAATCACACCCCCTGTACCCACCTGTCCACTCACACTTGTTCCCTAAGAACAGGGAGCGCTAAACATCATTAAACATCTGAAGCCTGTCCACAAAACCCCATCATTCCTTCCTGGGACGGGAAAGCAGCATTTTACGGTGGCTTGCATAGACTTAAAAATCGTCTTCCACTTTAACACACAATAACCTTTTGAGTACACCTTTTTTTTTTTACAAAATAATCAAAACATATGACAATATAAACCGGTCCTTTCTGCTGCTGGAAGCCAACAAACTTTACAAACATCTCTAAGGCTCTCCTGGACATACTGCTCCAGCTACTACTGAGTCGCTTGGGTGAAAATAAACAACTTATGGGGGTTGGAGGAGGGATAGATATGTGTATACATACATACACACACACACACATACGTGTGTGTATGAGAGAAAAACGGGACTTTCTACTGCTGTAAAGAGTTAGGCTCAGAAACCCACGAAGACAGTCCTACCCTGTCCTATAGGACCACTAGGAGTCCGCATCACCCCGTGGCAGAGTTTAGTTTAGTTTTGGCTCACACACACAGACAGACAGACAGAAAGGATTTATACAGGTTCTAACTGTAAAACCAAGCCACCGCCCAAAAGGTTGCTTCTCCTACGATTCCTGCAGTCAAGGTTTTGAGTTTGGGGGTGGGCGTGGGGTGGGACCAGCAAATCGGAGCATCCAGAGTTGCGACGGTCCCGGGATCAGTTAGCGGGACCCCGGGGCGAGGCTGCAAGGGCGGCCCCACCTACGTACCTGGAGGAAGCTGGAAATTCGCAGGCAACAGGATGGTTGTGCTCGGGGCTTTGGCGGCGGCGACCATCTGAGGAGCGGCCGCCCGGGGGCTGCTGCTGAGTTTAGGCACGGCACTGACCGTGACAACTTCGGTCCCCAGGGTCCCCACGGGGGCCGCCTGCAGCCGGGGCTGGGACGCCGTGGACCCCACGCAGACGGTGACAGAAGCCTTAGTCACGGCGCCCAGGGCCCCCGGGGCGTTCTCCACGCGCACCGGCAGAAGCCCGGCAGGGACCATGGTGCCGGCGCCGGCGCCGGCCGCGTTCACAGCAGCTGAGGGAGCGGCGCCGGCCGGCTGCGAGAGGCCCGCGGGCATCCCCCGGGTGCCTCAGCGGCAGCAGGGAAGCTGCCGACTCGCAAGCAGGGGCGCGGAGACGCTCTGCAAGCGGCCGCCGACTTCAGGGCAGGACCGGCTCCACAGCATCGTAGGCAGAGGCGCCGGGGCCGCGCGCGCCGAACCTTCCTCCCGGAGAGCCCGCGGCTCGGGACTGGCGCGGACTCGCGGGAGGCACCACCTGCCCGGACGCTCGCTGGTTCCCCGGGGGCAGCTCACACGTGCGCCGGCTCCGCTCCGGCGCCTCAGCTACCGCTCGCGCGGCGGCTCGGCTGCGCCGCGCGGCTCCCGGAAGGCCGTCCCTTGGGCTCCCACCACCGAGCCTAACTCTGCACTCGAGTTCCCTCGCCAGAAACTTCCCAAGGAAAGAAACGCGCGCGCCTCACGGAAGCTCCGTCCGGCTCTAGCTCGCGACTACGCCAGCCATGTTTATATAGCCACGAGGAGACCTCGCGCACGCGCCCCGGCGGCCGACTCCGCCTCGGCTCTCCCCGGAGCCTGGCCCTCTGATTGGCCGGGGAGAGGAATCGCGCTCGTGACGTCACCGGGGCCGGCTCCGGAGGGCGTTAGAACCTTCCCCGGAATGGGGCAGGAGGAGGGGCCAGTTGCCAAACATCCCGGCACGTGGGCGGGGCTCTCTGCGTTCGGAAAACTGCGGCATCCGAGCTGTGCGGCTCCAAAGTGTCCCTGCTTAGGTGGCCTTTCAAAAATTGGGACTGTACTTTCGCCAGGCTTGTTCTTCTTAGGGAAAAAAGGTGGAGGACTGTTTGGGGGAAAGGTCAGCTCGTTAACCTATCAGTGCTTTTCGGCGGGGAAAAAACGTTGTTAAATGACTGAACTGTTTTAAGAATAGTGTATTATTTTAGAGGCTGTAAAAAGTGCCTATTTTCATAGACTTTTTTTTTTCATAGACTTTTAGAGTTTTTTCCCAAGGGAAAAATCATCTCTTCTTAGGTGCTGCTATAGAAAACCCTGTCTATTCTTATATATACAAGGGGCAGGGGAAAATCCCATTATTTTTTAAGTCCATTCTCTCATGAACGTTTAAAATTATGTACCATTTTCAATAAAGCAAAAAGATGTCACAGAATTTGTTCTTTGGTCAGTTACTACTAGGAAATACTGGTTCACTTTAGTTTTTCCCCATACAGTATAGATTTAATAAGTACTTGTAAAAAAAATGTTCAAAGTTTGCTTCAAGGATTCTCTCTTTTCTAAATTTCTGTTACCAACCTTAACTCCAGCTTATGTACTTTCAATAACGCAATTGTAGTGAAGTTGATGGTGACACGTGGCAATCCAGTGTGTGTCAGAGTAGAACAGTGCCCCTTGGGGTTTATAGTAAATGTTTTTCTCACATGTAGAATATTGGTCCTTTCTTCCAGGCAGGTCTGGGAGAACGGTAAACACCGAGCTTTTTAATTAGCAGCCAGTTACACACTTTAAACCACCTAGAATACTCCTTGCTTAGAAATGGTTGGGTTCCAAAGACCAAGTCATTATGCAAAAATCATCAATATGAGAAAAGGGACGATAACCACATCATATCACAACTTGGAGGATGACTATGTAATTACGTGACTGCCAAGCCATATCGTTACATAACCCAAGTTTCATCATGACAGCTGCCAAACCACTGTGAATCAAGGCCATTTCACTCTAGCTTCTATTACTGCCAGATACGCCCTTAATGTGCAAAATAGATAGTAGTGTTTTGTTGTTTGTTTTCACTATTGTCATAATGCAAAATATCAGATAACATACTAAATAAGTTAGAAGTAGGCATAAATTCCTTCCAAACCCATCAATTGCTGACTGTGCATCTTTCTCCTGGAAGTAACTGGTGGCTTCTGCCGTCTTTTAATTAATAGTCTAGTGCTTAACCACTGCAGCAGAAGAAGTCTATGTCATTAACCTCAATGAAATTACAAAGAGGTGGGCCTGAGAAGCCATACTCTCTCTTAGATTGTCTTTACAATTGTTTATGTTTGCTTTATAATTATCTCACTGTTAACAAAAGCCAAAACTCACTGCTATCCTGTCAATTATTAATAGCACATGCAAGCAAACGCTTGCTGAAAATAATTCAAAAACTCTTGTGTAGCAATGCACTGATTGGGAACTGCTAGAAACTCAAGCCAGATTCAAAAGAGGACATGGAATGAGGGATAGCATTGCTGATGTCAGATGGATCTTGGCTGAAAGCAGAGAAAACCAGAAAGATATTTAATTGCACGTTACTGACCCAGCCACTGTGTGGATCAGAACAAATTATGGATAACACTGAGAAGAATGGGAATTCCAGAACACTCACTGCGCTCATTAGGAATCTGTACCTACATCAAGAGACCAAGAGGATTATAGCTCTGTCATATTTTCAGTGCCGTCCAACCCGGTTGGAAGATGGTTTCATCGTCCAGCGCTCTGAAAATGAACTGCTGCTGTTCATACGGTTTTCAGCGGCTACTTCACAAGTGGACAGTTTATTCCTCCTTTGTCTGTTCTTAATCTGGAAGCTCTGCTAAAACCTGTTCACTTTGGGTGACTGCTGGGATTTGAAAGACCAGGTACATAGCTTCCAGTATCACAACCACACACAGCATAATGGTATGACAAACATACGATTGTTCCCTATAGACCTGTCTGGTTTGGGGGCTGAAAATTGGACAATAGGCATGAGTTTGTTTCCAGACCTCAAGATTGGCAGATGCTACCACTCTCAATCCAACCAATAAACCTCATCATTTTATTTATGTTTCTTTTTTGTCATTTCCTTTTTCCAAAATTTTATGTGTGTGTGAATTGGGGGAAGATTTACGGAGTCATCAGTTTTCCATTGAACAATTCATACACACTTTCAGTCCTCATAATGAAACATTGCTTATCCCACTAATTCCCGGTGCTTCCTCTCCCCATTGCCCGTTCTTTCCCAACCCTCTGAACTTCATCCTTTGGCAAATGCTGCCTATTTCATCTGAAGTGGTTGAAGTGCTAAAGTGCATGTGTCTTCCTGGTGTTATTGTTCCTGCTATCGACTTGTCTGTTTTTTGGCTAAACATTGAAAAATAAAGGTGAATTCAAGACCTAAAGTCTTGGGGATTTTTACCAGTTCCTGTCTGATCAGTAAACCTGCTATATACATATAATGAAATAATTTGAGTTTCACATTTTTCTCCGACTCTATCTTTTCTCCTGTTCTAGTGTAGTGGGTAGTGGTAGGTGGGGACGGTTTCATTCTCCTGGTCTCAGGGTCCTGGAGCCTAAGGATTGGCAGTCAATTCATCCTTTGGATTAATTGCTTCCATGTGTCTAATATTTTCATCACTCTTCTGTCCTCCACACAAGGAGAGACCAATTGTTGCACCTTAGATGGCTGCTAATGAGGTTTTTAATATCCCAATCACTGTGCACCAAAGTAAGATATAGAACATCATCTTTGTGGATTATGGTATGCCAATTGACCTTGATGTATCAGAGACCTGGTTCTAGACCACCAGGCCCATTGATTCATTCTCTCAAGATTTTTGTTTCTTTCTAAAAAAGCTTTCATCAGGTTGCCCCTTGTATGCTCCATCATGTTCATAGAATATTTGCAACATAGGTAAATACATATGTACAAAGATCCTATCTCATATATATGAGATAATATATATGATGCAGTTATATATACTTTATAGTGTGTGTGTGTATATATATATATAAAATTTGTCAGTTTGTTGTGCTGTGCTGGCTTGTATGTTCCTGTGATGCTAAAGGCTATGTCACTGGTATTTCAAATACCATTCGGGTCACCCAAAATGAATAGTTTTCAGCAGAGTTTCCCGACATAGGCTGCCTATTTCAGAGGAATTAGCCACAGAAAACCCTAAGGACAGCAATGAAAGATTGCCAGTTCCTAAAAACCTAAGAGAAGCAGAGCAGTGTCAGACATTGTGCCCAAAGGTGAGCCCTTTTGGTCAGAAGGCACTCAAAATATGACTGAGGAAGCGCTGCCTGCTCAAAGTAGAGTCAACTGTAATGACGCGGTTGGGGTAAAGCCTGTGAGAGTAAAGCCTTCATTTACTGATAGAGTATGGCTCAAAATAAGAAGAAACAGCAGCAGACATTAATTAGTAATTGGAATTGAATGTATGAATCTAGGAAAATTGGAAGTCATTAAAAATGAAATTAATGCATAAAGATCAATATTCTAGACATTAATGAGTTGAAATGAACTGATATTGGCCATAGTAAACCATATGGTTTTCAAATGGTTTACTCTGCTGGTAATGACAAAATCAGGAGGAAGGGCATCACATTCATCATCAAAAGGACATTTCAAGATCTATCTGGAAGTGCAATGCTGTTTGAGATAGGAGAATGTCTATTGGGATACAAGGAACACCAGTCAATACAATTATTAGTGAAATGTATACATCAACCACTAAAGCTAAACTCTAACTCACTGCCATCAAGTCTATGCCAATGCATAGCAACCATATAGGCTAGGGTAGAACTGCCCTTATGAGTTTCCAAGTCTGGAACTGTTTATGGGAGTAGAAAGCCCCATCTTTCTCACAGTGAGTGTATGTGTGTGTGTGGAGGGGGCGGTTTCGAATTGCTGACCTTGTGGCTAATAGCCCAATGTGCAACCACTATACCACCAGGACTCCATCTATTGAAGCTAGTGATGCCGAAATTGAGGAATTCTACCCATGTCTTCAGTCTGAAATTGATCAAACAGGCAGGCGATCAAGATGCATTGATAATTATTGCTGATTGGAATGCAGAAGTTGCAAAACAAAGAGGCAGGATCAGTAGTTGGGATACATGGCCCAATATGGCAGCGGTGGTGGTTGGGCCAGTTCCAGAGGCCACACTCCTCGTTACGGCCTCAGCCCCAGCACCACCATGGTAACCCTCGCTGAGCTGCTGGTGCTGCTGGCCATGACCTGTGATCTTCCTGTATTCGACATCACTGTATATGTTTCGTGAGCCTGGTG